AGGAATAAGCAACGGTAATTATAACACAATGATAACATCACACATCTAGCCAACTGCAGTAAAACTTTACCTGTCTATAATATTCTATAATATTGTAGTACTAAGATAGAAGGTACTGAAACCATTAAAGTACTCACTTAACTTTTGTAGAATTAGTTTGAGGCCACAAAGGGATATTGTAGGAATATTTCAGTGGTACTAAGAGATCAAATACCTTAAATATTATGAAATCACTGTAAACTCACTATTAAGTGAAGGCCTCTTTGAGTATTACAGTTTCACCGTTAAGGAAGTGGTTCTTGAAGGCGAACATGTATAATAGTGTTAAATGGTGTACAGATGAGACTCATTATGGCCTAAGCTGGGTTATGAATAATGCTAACGTCAGTGTAATACATTATAGGTGTTCCCCCTTAAGCAGTGCAGTTATGGGATATGAAGCATTCTGTAACAGTGAAACATGAAGAGAAAACCTACTTTTTTTCTGCAAATGATGCTGAAGTCCACATGTAAATAGTCATCTTTAAGGAAACGTTGCATTTTTCTGTGTACAATGGCTAATGCATCAATCTGGTTCTTTTTTTCCCCTTCTCTTTCTCCATTTATATGTAAATACTGTATTCTTATGCACTTTACAATAATGGCCAAACTCGTAGGACAACAGGTCATTCTGAGTCTCTGTTTAAAAAACACACACAAGGTGATCAATGTTGTTCTAATTGCTCTGTGGTACATGTGTTGTTAATTAAATGTGCCCTGTGTTTCCTAATAACAGACTTCTAAGTGCATTTCCTCAACGTAACTCTTTTTGCTTTTGGTGGAGGCGAGTGTAAAAAGTAAACGCAGTATTAAAATAGTCAGAGTTTACTGCAGAAGTGCAAAGGCAATGAATCTGGTTTCAAGAGATTTGATAACTGGAAATATGTGTGGTTGCATGTCGATAGAGGCTTCTCTGTGCTGCAGTCAGGACACATTTTGAATGAATCAAGCATCATGTGTGTAGTTCTGCAGTAAGGAAATAGTGTCTCTACAGCAAGAATCTGAAAAGTTGCATGAAAATGAATCAGCCCTTTAGTGTGATTGATTCCTTCTGTGCCATAGAAAGAAAGAAAGAAAGAAAGAAAGATAGGACAAAAGTCATTAGGGACACTAGTCAAACACAGACACATACAGACAGGCTACATTTTACAGTGATATATTTGTCTTTCTTTGCTCAGTCATAGTTTAAGTATACAGACAATGTAGCCTGACCGGTCTGGTTGGTTTCTTTACGCATCTTGTCTGACAACATTACCTCTTCTGTTTAAACTGGCCTGAGATCTCAAACAAGGGGACACTGTAGTGAACTGTCGTTCTATAGCTCCTGGTAAGTCTTTTGTAGTTAAATTGGCCTCCTGGAAATGATCATGCAGTATACCCTGGACCTGTTGAATGCCACAAACAACTACTTAGGCACTTTTTAGAGCAAAAGTTAGCAGTTTTTATACTCACTCCTCTAATCTTCAGGTAGGAATGCTGTTACTGTGCTTTTGTTGAAACAACTTAAGAAACTGTACTTTTAACAACTCCTCTAAGTAATTGTTTTAGAGTAGTAGATGAATGGAAAATTCTGCTGGGACATAACATGAGAAATTAAGGCTTTTGAATAATTCTTTTTCAAAACCAGTTCACAAAGCAGTACAATCATTGAACGATGGCATAGGAGAAGACAGACGTTTTCAAATTAGAATTAAACAATAAAACCACCAGTTGCAGTGATAGTAGTAATTTGAAAAATTAACTTTTCACTCTGTGTTGAACAAAGGCCGGCGCCATTGGTGCATAAAAAATTAGACTTCATCAGATTCTGGTAATACAAATACTGAACCAGAGTTTTTTTCTGAATGAGTTTGTATTGCTTCCTGCAGTCTCATTTCCTCTGAAGTGGTTATATAATAAATGTATAATGATTTGCTTTATTTGTAAGCACCTTTCATATAAGAAATGCAGCTCAAAGTGCTTTACAGCAGAGGAAATACATGCATAAGAGTGCTTCACATTAAAAAATACATAGAATGAACCTGAAAACAGGGATATAATGCCATTATTAATGGAAAATATGATGGGAAATAAAATAACAGAATACATAGAATGCATAAAATCAAGTAAAATACAATGTTTATAGAAAGTGTGCTAACAGACCATGTACCTTCAGGTGAGTGACAGCCGTGTATTACACTACTGAGTGTGGTTGAGAAGCTCCAGTTACTCTTGACACTTATGAGACAGGAATCATTACATTTTATTATAACATCTAGTTGAAACAAATCCTGTCAGACAGACAAATTTGTAGCGAATTTATTCACATTTACCATAAGTGCAGGACAGATGTCAGTAAGAGAAGTATTGCTCATATAAGTCTTAATCAGTTCTTCCCTCTCATGGTAACAAGTACACACCCAAAAAGACAAAAAGGTCTATTCACTGGCTTCTGCATTTGAGATTTTGAGAAGTGCTTTGTTTCACACTACTGTCCAAAAAATTGCCACACAGGATGACTCATACGATGACGGTCCAAGATAGGTGGGGTGAGGATGGATGCTGCGTTTAGGGGGTGATAAAAGTCGTCAGTTTTTATTTATAGTCTCATTCTCTTGGGTTGCTGAAAAGCTTTGTCCTCTCTGGTCATCCACAAAGAGCTACTCTTTTACAAGTCCATTCTCAAAACTTTAAAATGACCACCCCCTTTAATCTTTATAGTGCTGTACTATAGTATACTATAGTGAGTTTGAAATCATCAGTGTAACCAGCACAGAGCATAGCACACAATAAATGTTAAAGGGGCACTCCAGTGATTTCTGGACTTAAAGTTGAGATAAGACAAGAGATAGATTTTAGAAAATGTGCATGTTCATGCATCATAGGCAGAAATATCTTCACTTTCAGTTTCTAGCAACCAATTGCATTAAAATATCCACATCTTTCAGTCCACCACCCTATCTAAGCCCATGCTGAGATACCATCACCAGGGTTATTTTATTAGACTTTAGAAAGCTCCTCCACAGCCTAATGTAAGCATTATGTAAGCCTTAATCAGTGGATTTTTCCTTTAATAATTAAATATATAACATATGACACACTTTTAAAGTAGGGCGCCTCCTTCTGTAAATCAAACAAGTCTGCTTGTAACAGATTTTTTCTCCCATAACAAAGATGTTGAAGCTTGTCAGCCTGTGTGACTGCACATTAGTCATTCTGAGTCTCGTTTCCTGTTGAGTTCAGTAAACACTGGAGATGATACTATCATGTCACAGGATCCCAGAAAGAGGTTAAACAGGCAGCAGTGGATGTTTTGGTGTACAACACACACAGACTGACAGCTGTCTGTTGTCAGTGTTAATACACATTGATAGCTTAAAGCAGTGTGTAAGAACAACTTAGTAATGATTTTAAAGTGACAAAGCCGGTATTTCAATTATTTTTATTATTGGGGTAGCTTAAAAAAATACTATAAATGTTAATGTAAATAATATTATCAGACTAATAAATAGCTTTTACTTGTAGGACCATAGTTATGACGAGCTAGTGGCTAGCATAGCTACAAACAATAGCTAACTAATGGACAAATTGATAGTAAATTGATACTAAGCATTGAAATAAAGTGTGATAGTTGTTATTCCTCTATCTCTAATGTAAACAGCAGTAAATAATTCATAATGGAAAGTCTTAAAATGTCACCTGAAATGTTGACCAAAACAAACAAACAAACTTCGTCATGTCAAGAAATAACTTTATTATACGAATCTTTGGCATTTATACAGTGGTTATATATAAAGCATTGATCTGTGTGAGTTTATGTACATTCTATTTGAAAGATGGTGAACACATAATACAGTAGCCTACATACAGTATGAAAAGCATACTTGCAGCAAGGTATTGTAGTTGCATATTATAAAAAATATTCAAAAATTTATACAATTGCTCATATTAAACAGTAACAAACAAGTTAACCTACATTTACCAACTGTGGAATATAATGACTAAGAGGAGAACAGAAGTAACGCCCCCACCACCACCACCACCACCACCAGAATGAACTATGTCAACTACCCGAAACTAAAATGTGTGTGCACGCCTTCCCAGATCCTGTTTTGCTTCATTTTAAAATCTTTTCCGACTGATGTAATCGTCTTGGGTTGATTATTCTTTTTAAATAGCATGTAGTTTTTATTTTTATACTACTGCAGGTTGGTGCTGAATATTTACTTGCAACTACTGCTATTTACTTAAATGTTGTGTGTGGTAGATTGAAAATTAACAGTAAAGTCATGGGGACTTTTGTGAACAAAAATGTCTTTACTTTTGTCATCATCATAACTAGAGTGAGATGAATATTGCCAAAACTCATCTAAGGTGTATATATTATATAATTCTGTCACCCTGACCCATCACTTCCTATAGAGAAGAACGACAAACAAACTGCTCAGCCACTTAGAATCCGTTTATATACAAAAATGCACATGCTCAACAATGATTTATACAAGTGATACATGTCTGACTACATGAACTATTGTGTAATCCAGCAACACAAAACAGAGAGGAAGACAAGGTTATATAAAAAGAAGTTATGCATCTTGCTCATAAAAAAGTTGTGCTTAGTTACAAAAAAAGGCATATAAAACATAGTTATTCAGTCAATAATGTACAAAACAAAGAGGCAAAACAGCACAAAGAAGCACTTAACACTGGCTACGTTCCTGAGAGATTACTCAGTAAGGACTAACTGACCGTCTAGCTTTGATTTAGACAGTACAAAGGTTTATTTCTAACAAAATATCGATCTGCAAACTGAGATTCAGAGAGCACAGGAACTCAAAAGCTCACAGACACAGTAAGCAGGAAACAAAGTGCATAATGAGACAAAATCTAGAGACGCAAATGCTTTCCGGAACTTCTGTAAAATCA